GTGAAACTCCTGACTCTTAGACCTTCCCCATTTCCACCACATCATTCTCACTCAGTCTATACTCAGAGAATAGGAGGCTTTCGATTCCACGCCAAGAAGTTTGGTTTATAGATGAAATGAGATGCCCTGAAGCTTTTTGAGGAGGCAGTACCACAGTCAGATCTGCACTACAGTGTTTCGTAGAAAGAATGGAAGAACCTGAGGCTGAAAAAGAGGTAGAAAGTTATCACAATGGCCCAGAGGGAAGGAAATATTGCTTTCAAGTAGGACAATGACAGTAAAGTTGTACACATTTAGCTACCATTTACTGAGTGCATATAATGTACCAGGCATTGTGCATAATCTTATATAATCCTCACACCAACCCTCAGAGCTACATACTATAATTGTTTCCATTTTATACACTAGGAATCTGGGGCTTGGAAAGCTTAAGTAACTTGCCTGTGGTTCCACAGCTAGCAAGGGGCAGACTTGAGATTCAAATCTCAGTCTGATGCTCTTATGCTTCTCAAACCTTACAGTGCAAGTATGTCACTTGGGGATATTGTTAAAATGCAGATTCTGATTTAGCAGGTTTGGGATGCAATCTGAGAATCTGAGATTTCTAACAAGCTCCCAGGTGATGCCAATGCTGCTGATACACAGAATACATTGATCCACAGACCACACTGAAGCTTCAAGGAGTTGTGTCCAGTGGAAATGCAAGGGAGGAAAGAGACAGGAGAAACCTTCCAAAACGAAATTGGTTATGGGGAATGGGGAACATAGAAGGGGAAGACATGATTCTGAGGTTTCCAGCCAATGAGAAAGCTACTGACTGACACAGAAACCCAGGAGGAGGACCAGCTGCCATCTGTATTCATTAAATGGAGTTTCTGTCCATCTGTCCCTAAATCAATATTAAAAAGAAAGAGAGCTGAGCCCACTTTTTTAACAATTATCAAAATCAGGCTACCAGTAGACGTTAACAGCATATGCATGTCTACTTACTTATTGAGCTCTATTGTTTATTAGCAACCCAGCCACAATGATTATTTCTTTGGTTTCATAAAAGCATTTTCAACCCTTTATAGTTTTGTAGTATTACTTAAAATCAGGATTGATCTTGGACAGTTTTTCATCAGTGCTTAGACATAGAGCAGCTGTAAGACAAATTCTTTCCTAACAATTTTATTCTAAAAGAAGTGGCTGTTGCATCAAACTCAAAATGTTTAAAGTATGAGGGAACGGTTGTTCTATCTCTTTTCTATTTAAAAGAGTAGATATAAATAAACTGCCTACAGAGATGGAGAAAACAGATGGATTTGAAAATTCAAGCTCACACTGAATATAATTAACTTGGAAAGGGAGAGAAACCAATGATGCCTGGGATCATAGGTGCCTGGGAGACAGGCAAAGGGCTAACTTATTTTTAACACCAGGGTAGTCTCAGCAGTACAAAAAATTCAAACTCGATTGAAGTCTTTGAAGAGGCAAAGAACAAATGAAGAGAGAGAAAAAAAAGGTGGCTATTGCAGAGTAATTAACATTTTTGACCCAACTGCCAGCCTGAGTAGGTGTTTGCTGCTTTTTAACAGAGTCTGGGTTTCCATGGTCAGGGCAAATGAGAAGGTTTCGTGAAAGCACTCTGGGTATTGTTTACTATTTGATCCTGAAAGAGGTAAACCTGAAGAGACAACTGGGTGTAGCACTTCTTCAGCAGGAGTGGAGGGTTGCTTTCTGCATGGACTGGGCCTTATTTGCATATTCACATGGAGTACTCTGGGATAATTGGACCAGAGGGATAACAAGCTGACCCTTGGGCTTGAGACAATGGTCACTGGGGCTTGACGATAGTCATGTCCTAGACCACTGGGATTGGGACTTAAACACAGCCTGGTGTAAAAAGCCGTTCACAAGTGAACCCCATGATCATTCCCCTCTACTCACAACACAATTTGGACAGTCCTACACAAGGAGTATACATTCACAAACCCGTGGGTCTTTATGCGCCACACTTGCTGCCTAGAATACCCTTTTCCCCTCCACCTAACAAATCCCTATTCATTAGACCCAATTTAAATGTTATATTCTTCCACTCCCTCTCCCCAAGCAAGCCAAGTTAGTCGTCTCCTTATCAGCAATTACATAATACTTTGCGGCTCCCTCTATTAGAGCATAACCGGTATTTGTATGCTTGTCTCACCCACAACATTGTAAACTCCTCAAACCCAGAACGTATCTAAATCTTCTTGGTACCCATGGTGCATAAGTATCTATCACATAATAGGTATTCAGGAAAAAACTAATGAAATGAATAAATGAATTAATTAAGGAGAAAAAAGGGAGGGCAAAGAATACTCCAAGGGATATTGGTGTGTGTGTCTCTGTATGTGTCTGTATGCATGTGTTTTGTATATATTTATATTCATATTTGTATTTGTATGTTTCTGTTGCTTATAACAGAATACCTAGAACTGGGTAATTTGTAAGAAAACAAAATTTGTTGCTTACAGTTTCAAAGGCTGGGAAGTCCACAGCCCAGGGAACACACCTGGTGAGGGTCTTCCTGAATGGTGGCTTCACAGCAATGTGGGAGTCTCACATGGCAGAAAATGGCAGAGCAGAG